AGACAATTCTTTATTACAAAATTCTTTTCCATTGTCGCTTCTAAGAATTTTTATTTTCTTTCCTAATTCATTCTCTACTTCAACTTTAAATTTTTCAAACACAGATTTAATATCCAATTTATTCTTTAGAAAGTATACATATACTTTGCGCGAGTAGTCATCTATGAAGGTTATGAAATACTTTCCACCACCAGCGGACAGAGTCTCCATCGGACCACATAGATCTGTATGAATTATCTCAAGTAATGCATTAGCTCTAGAACCAGAACTTGGAAACGGTAATCGTGTTTGTTTTGCTTCACAACACGGTATACAAATAGTATTATTTTCTTTGTTACTTATTGAAATACCCTCAGCACATAACTCTAACCTCTTAACATCAGCCATATTTAAATGGCCCATTCTTTTATGCCATGTAGTTAAATCTGACTTGTTTATCACAGCATATGCATTACCAGTAACAGTATTGAGTTTGTACATGTTATTGGTTAGTTTTGCCGTTGCTACTAAATTCTTATTAACATTGTAAATATTACATCCGGTGTCAGTGAATTCTACCTTACAGCCACTCTTTGTTAACTGACTGACCGATAATAGGTTTGCACTCAATTCAGGAATGAATAAAACTTTTCTCACCTGGATTTGACATTCATTTCTATTTAGCTTGGTTTGTATATTTACATTACCCATACTTTGCACGGAGACTGCTTCACTGTTCGCCACCATTATTTTCTGAATCGGAGGTGGTTGTTTATCATACATCCAGTCTGAGCGTCTTGTCATGTGCATTGTAGCGCCTGAGTCAATATACCAGTCATCTTGGTTCAATGTACTGTAAGCTGAAAAAATTGCTGAAAAGTTATTTTGATTAGTTTTCTGTAATGTACACTGATTTTTGAGATGTCCATATTTGTTACAATTGTAACAACGGGGGCCCTTTCCTTTTGGCTTTGCATTATTTTTTGAGGTATTTTTGTGCTTAGTAAAGAATGCAGAAGTTTCAGATATCGTGACTTCCTGTAAAAGTTTAGTTTTTATGAAATCTGATGAAATTTTGATGCCGGAACTTTCCAGACCCATGATCATCGGTTTATAATTATCCGGTAAACCTGCTAGCATGAGTGTTCCTAGCCATTCATCTCCTACTTCGAAGCCAATGTTCCGCAATTTATGAGCTGTACTCATAATTTTATTTATATATTCTTCTATACTAGGACAGTTATCCAATGAAGTATTGATCAAATCCTTCAGTAAGCCGACTTTTCTAGACAGCCCGGAGTCTTCAAAGGCATTTTGAAGGTTTTGCCAAACACATTTCGAAGTCGTGGCATTTTCTATATGCACGTAATTTATCGGTTCGACCAACAAAATTATCTTTGACTTGGCTTTTAAATCTTTCTTCGGATCGACATCGGTACCAGGATCGATACATTCCCATAGGTCATCTAACTCCAGATATGACTTGACAGCGAACTTCCACGTTGAATAATTTTCCCGGCCGGCTAATTTTTCAATTTGTAGGTTAGCGGCGGCCATTGTTCACGGCGTGATTCGAATTCGCGATATGTTGTACTGTACTTTAAAACTTTGCAATAAATATTTAATTACTGATCTAATAAAGGTATGAGACGGCCCATAACCTATAGGAAATGAATAAAACGATTATTAGAGTTAACAAATTAAACTTCGGTTTATTGCACGAGTATCAAGTATTACAGAGACAAAAGGAATAGACAAGTTAGTTTTTTACAGTGACGCAGTATTGCTATAAACTGAACTACAGTGTTTTGAGTATGGGCGATGTTTACATTCTTCCAATAGGACTTATAACATAAATAGTGAAAAGTGGGTGTTACTTCTGTATGCACCTCTGCCTACCCCTTCGGGGATAAAAGGCGTGATGTTATGTATGTATATTTATGTACAATCAGTAATGTGTTACGTAGCAAACAGTATTACAACAAAAAAAAAATATAAGGATTAAAACTGATTTACTTGATAACGAATGGAGTCAAATTTTATATTAACAAATCACTAAACTACAGGATTCTGTATATCTTCATTAATCCTAGCAAACTTTGTGCCTTTGCAAAGTCAATAAAATGCAAACTATATTCTACTTGTTTTTTTCCATTTAACACCATTTACGTTGTTTTATATCTAACAGAAGAATTTTTGTTGCAGCCGACAACTTTCGTCCATACTTGACGTCGTTCCAAGGGAACAGCTTCACCGACTACATCAACGCGGTTTTCGTAGACGTAAGTACTTTTCTATTATGACTTACTCTTTTCGTGGATATTGTAAGAGCAAAGCTACATACATATTCGATATAGGCCAAGCTGCAGACTTTGATATACCCACACCGATTACACTACAATGTCCAACACCCCTTTCAAATACGAAAATTATGGCAAATCCTCATAATTGTATTGAAAAAGTATTGAATTTGACTAGTTGACAAGCACCTAATTGAAGCATGATTTTGTGCTGGAAATTAGAACGTATAACAACATACATATATACATCAGATACGGAGTCATGGAGGACTTAACAGGTTGCGGGGCAGTGGCGTAGCGTATCTTGACGTATAAAAAATTATTTGTTTACCTTTCATAAGGGACTTACCCTTATGAAAGGTAAAAATTTCTCAGACGAGATTTTTTACATAAAATACCTCCTCTGCCCAAATTATCGGACAATGATTATGTACTTTAGTTTTTCCAAAGTTTCTGCCATGGAATAAAGAAATCTATTCCATGGTTTCTGTCAACCTTTGAACGCATGCATTTTGTGATTACTGAAGTAAAATATAAATTAAGAAGTTTTTATGTTTTTTCTTACACACTTTGGAGCCCCCGTTGTCTGGGGGCTCCATTTAATTGATACGGCAGATACGGCACTAGCTACGCTCCTATTGCCGGGGCTCTGGCTCGCACTGTTGGAGTTTTTAGTCAGTAGGTAAGAGTCTGACACTCCCTCCCGCCTCACCCAGGCGGGAGTAAACATTTAATGATTTTCCACCCTTTAAAAAACATCTTTTTAGTAGAGAAACATAGTCAAATAGTAGATTGTTAATGATGATGTAAATAATATCATCCTTTACGTAAGGGGGTCAACATAAAATAGTGTCACTCCAACAGAAATGAAAGCACAATTTTATCAAACAAAATGCAATTTCCTCAGCTCTGTCCTCGACTTAGAAAGTTCATCTTTTAAATTAATGTGACTTTATTGTGACGGGCACCGTAGCGCCGCACTCAGGCATAGTGTTAATGCTACCTTTTTAGTTGAATAGTAGTTATGGGTTTTTTACTTTTTTGCACTATAGCGTTGTCTCAGTAACTAATGGAATAGAGAAATGAGGTGAAATATGAGCCTTCTGATTTCAGTCGTGTTCTCTGAATGTTATTGAGAGGTTGGGTCTCCTATTCATAGATACTAGGTAGTACCTAAATGATAGTGTAAGGGTTTACAATTTCTCTTTCTTCTCTCTTCTTTTATTCCAGTGTTAAAGATGATGAGTTTTGGTGTTCAAATTTTCCATAATAAAACTTTTTTACCATAGGAATGGGACAAGTAATGAATCTACATAAAGGTACTGTTATACAAGCTCTAAAATGGCATGTTAAAAAGCATTCTATTGATCATGCTCAAGAATGTTCGAAAATCGAACGCCTGTTGATTCGTAAGCATGCCATGCCCGAAATGAGCATGCTCATTTTAACAACATTCCGACACACATAACACTTGTAATGTGTGTCGTTTGAACACTTGCTCAAATGGATACTTTCCATAATCAAAAATAAATTATTTTGACTGTTCAATACAATAAAATATGTATTTAAAAAATAATCACACTTTCAGTAATTGATTTTACGGCCAACTTAATTTTAGTATTTTTCCAACATTTTTTTAAGAAATTAGTATTCTGTTTGACGCTAAAAAAATGTGACGTCACAATACACAATCTCGTACAAAATTCCTAGAAAACTGTAGTTTTTTGACAGTTCGAAAAAAGTATTGAATTTGACTAGTTGGCAAGTACCCAATTGAAGCATGATTTTGTGCTCGAAATTAGTATGTATAACAATATCTTTACTGTATTTTTTTATGGGACAAGCCCGTCACAGCCTCCCAAAACCGCTGCAACTCCTGTAAGCCACGATCTATCTATCTTTACTGTTTACAAAGTCAAAGTCAAAGCATTTATTTCAATTGAACCATAATTTGGTACTTTTGAAACGTCAATAAATAAAAAATAAATAATAGTCTATCAGTCAGTCTAGAATAGAAGTTCGAATGGAGAAGAACGAGCAAAAAACTCCATTCGTTACTTTTTTGAAAAAGTATGTTCTACAATATCTCAGATTCCAATACTGTACTACGTATATATAAGAACAATGCAAAGACACGCTTGACGCATTATAGTACTAATTACAAACCTTACTAAAAAATAAAAAACCTTATAGTCTAACATGGTGCTCACATATGCAATACCTCTATTATAATAGAGGATCCATCGTTCTTATAATTTTCAGAAATAAAAGGCTATAATATCTTTCTTAACCCATAGTATGCCGTGAGCGTAGATATACGCGAGACACAATGAGTTTTTTATTGTGTCTCATATGCCGGCTGATAAGAGGTTAAGAGACATTTACTAAAAGCTAATTGTTTTCCAGGGCTACACAAAACCTCGTGAGTACATAGTAACAGAGTGGCCTCTAGTGAGGACCCAGGGAGAGTTCTGGTCACTGGTCTATGACTACGAGTGTGCTGCAGTCGTGGTCCTCTGCGTGCCTCCCAAGAATTCTGTAAGTAAAGAATAATTAGTTTTATTTATTTATTACTTCTTCACAACACTTTTCACTATTCATGTTATGAGTCCCATGTAATAGAGGGTGAGCCTATTTCCATATGCTACTACTGAGATTTTTTTTAAAACCCACTTTGTCCGACCCGGGAATCGAACCCGGCAGTCGCAATTGCGACTACTCGATCAACGAGGCAGGTAAAACTCTAATACTTACGTTATTGTTACAGCAACAATTTCCACCATTCTGGCCGGAGGGTCGTCACTCGAAGAAGTACGGTCCAGTGTTCACGATAGACCACGTCTCACACAACCACTACACAAACATCAAGACTTGGATATTCAGGATTAATAAGAAGGTAAACACTCGTCTTGTCGCGGAGAACCTAACGGGTAACCGGGGCTCCGGCTCGACGTGCAGGAGAAGGAACGGGGTGGTTTTTAGTCAGTAAGAGTCTGACACTCCCT